AGACAGATTCCTTAGTACAGAATAAGAAAGATGTTTACAGAACTCATACGGGGGTGGGGTACTAGTATTTGATTATTTACGGTAAAAAATTAATCACAGGACACAAAAATGAATTATAGGACACAAACATGAATTATAGGACACAAAAATGAATTACAGGACACAAAGAAATCATACGACAAACATATATTTGTAATTAAGAATAATATCTTTGCTAGTGTCTAAAAAGTTCAAAATCAACCATACCCTTCACCAAAGAGCATGTTCAGGTCTGTCTTCTCTCTATTAGTCAATGATTTTTCCACTTCTTCCAATGCCTCAGAAAACCTAAAAAAACACATAAAAAGAAAGCTTAAATCAAAATGAATACATCCATGCCACTAGAAGAAAAAAATGTAATAAAAGACACAATCATTTTCCAGACATTTATCATGTTTACCCTGTTTATCATGTTTAAAAACTCGTATTTTGCTTTAATTCACGTCTTTCATACCTGTATACCAAATTTGCTTTCTGAAATGGCCATTCAAAAACAATCTGTACAATGTAAATAACCTACATGATTTCGATGGTATTCTTCACTGTGTGCTGATAGGCGCGCGTGTGAAGTATATGCCTCATCCGGTACAGGTTGTACAGATGGAAGGCTTCCTATGAAACAGCAACAACGAACGACAATAAAACTGTGAGTAAGCGTACGGGCTCCAGATACTATCTCTAAAATGAAAATCGAATTACATGCGTCTAATTAATTGCTGGATTATCATAGTATTCCAATAACGCACAGGTTTCTATCAGAAAAAAAAACTAGTTACGGATCTTCTTTTCTTGGCCTTGCAGCAACGAATGCATTGTTTGTTTGTTTGTTTGTTTATCTTGCATCGAATGCATAAATAGACGGTTTGAGACAGAAAACTGCTTAATATACTGTATTTTTCATTAACTTTTAAGACATGGTAAACTGACCTTGAATTTGAAGCATATCTCGGAACGCCCTCCAAACTGTAACACCCTGGCGTACTTGAGCAGGCGTTGATGATCAAAGCTGTTTGGGATGCCGAGAAAGTAGCAGTCCCGGGCGCAGTAGTCCCACTTGGCCACATCGATGCCATTCAGCGTGTTCTTCACAATCTTTTTCACAAATTTTAATTGGAGACATCAGATTTGAAATAAGATATCTGAAGTTGTGAGCTCATAACAATTAGAATTGGATTATAACAGCCATTTTAAACAAAAGTTTAGTCGGTGTTGTTACCATGGGCAACAAGTCTTACCAGACCTTTAATATTCTGTGAAAATTTAGCGGTCATACAATAGATACAGGTAGTTAGTTAAGGAGGGTCTCACCCCCCTCCCCCAACCCAGCACGACCAAAAAGTCCGGTCTGAATAAAAAAAAGGCCGGTCTGAATTCTTGTTTTAACATGACATTAAACAATTCTGACCATCATTAATCTGATGCATAGACCTAGTTAGTTTCTTCATATTTGTACCAATTCTGTTAGTTCTGTTATCTTTAATCTCTATGTATATTTATTGATGAAGGTATTACAAAATTAATGCAGTATTTCTTTTTTATTTCTGCATTTTTCTATTAGTAAGAAAGATTTATCTTACCAGGTATAGGAAACTCTTGTCCTGGCCTCGTCCCTCGCATAACCAGGGAGTCTATTAGTTAGGGAAATTAAGCAAGCCGAATTGCAAACACACTTGCACATTAAAAAGGCACACACGACAAGCTGAGTATTCTATGAAAAATTGAAATGACTCTGATAGATACATTGTAACATCATGAAAATGAACATACCTTGTATGCTGATCTTGTGCTGTCCTGAAGTCAGAAGAAACATAGAAAAACAAATATATGCATATGTTTTAACGTCTCTCTCCCTATAGGATCGCCGATTAAGAAAATAGAAATATCGGAAAATAGCAAAATAGCATACAAGAAAATGGAAACAAAAAGAGAATAAACAGGATTCTTGAATATTCTGCCCATCGTACGTACCTTTTCCCATAGACCTGGTGGGGGATTTATAAGCTCCTCGATGAACTTATTCTCCTTGTCGAGCTTGTATTTCTGAAGTAACATGTAAGTAAACTGATAAAATAAGCTGTTTTGGAGAGCATGCTAACAATATTCTACGTATACGTCATAGCGTGTCAAATTGTTGCATAAAGGAATTCCACATTGACTATTCCTAAAGGACATACCTGAAGCAGGTTCTCGATTGTTGGCTTCTTGCATATTTCCCCAAAGATCTTTACTGACATGGCCAATGGCTGAAAATAAAACAGGTTTATTATTTAGAATCGCGCCGCCTGGCATCATTACTTTAAATTTTCACCGTCTGTCCTCTCATCTTATCAATATGAATAGCTATGAAAGTACACCAATCAAGCATCAATAGTCACTTGATGGATAATAAAGCATAGTATTACATGAAAAAAGCATTATTCATTAACAAGAATTACTATCAACCATGTTGTCAAAACCTACCGTAAAATCTTTCTTCTTATTCCGCATGAACCTTTGGTCAAAGAGATGCGAGAACGGCCCAAAACCTGTTCAAAGGGGAAAATTTACATATGTTTATGATCATATCTTTTTATTAGTAAGATCATGTTGAAGGTGAAAATTATTCGTTATCATTTAGTGAAGAATTTTCAACGCTTCTCAACTATTGATCAATTATTATCATTTGTATATTCATCATATAACCAGCTAAAACTCTAAGCAAGAAATTGCCATTATGTTCGGGATCGGGAAATACCAAGATTTCTGCAGAGTCCAGCAATCATGACACAGAGGTGCTCTTCCTCAGTAATGTCTATAGGATAACTGCTGTTTGGTCATGGCGTCTCCTGAGGCCCTGTACCATTTCATCTGCCAGATGACATACCCTGAAATATTCGCATAAATACGTATATGTATATATGATGTTATATATACAGTAGTGGCAAACTATTGGACATGCTAAAACACAGGGCATTTCAGAACTTCACAAAAGGTAACAAAACTACAAGATAGCAATATAGATAGCCCATCATTCCACTAGGTTTTAAATAACATGACTGTCCATTACCACAGATAAAACCAACAGCATGGGTTCATTTTACCTCTCCCTTGGGAATCAGCAACTTCACAGAAAACGTAATAGTCTAATTTTGCACTCGATGGAATTAAAGGATAATCGACGCTCACTCAAGCTGAACAGTAACAACAGCCTCTTCAACATGTTGCCCTGCTTCTCCAGAATTCGCAGTAACACACGTTTGGCCCAACCCCTTATAATAAGACTCAGGCCAGGGTTACCTACTCTTCAACATTTTGCCCTGCTTTTCCAAAAGTAACAGTAACAGTAACAGTCACACCTCATTTACTTCCCCCGCACACACCCGACCACACCCCTTATAATTAGACTCAGGCCAGGGTTACCTACTCTTCAACATTTTGCCCTGCTTTTTCCAAAAAGTAACAGTAACAGTAACAGTCACACCTCATTTACTTCCCCGCACACGCCCGACCACACCACTTATAATTAGACTCAGGCCAGGGTTACCTACTCTTCAACATTTTGCCCTAGCTTTTCCAAAAGTAACTAGTAACAGTAACAGTCACACCTCATTTACTTCCCCGCACACGCCCGACCACACCCCTTATAA